CCTCCCTCTCATGCTCTCTGTCTCTCATTCTCTCTCTCTCAAAAAAAAAAAAAAAAAAATCAGCTTCTTTCCAGTCTGCTATAACTCAGGGGAGAAAACATCCCCAATTGTTGAACACAGCACAGTTGGAAACTGCTTCTCAAATTTAATGAAAATATTCTGCTGGTTCCATAAAACTTTTTAAATGGTCCTAGTAAGTCATTCTACTAAGTAACTCAGTGATAGGTAGAAAAAAAAAAGAATGTGTCCTGTAAAAAGGAATATCCTGAAGCTAAAACAGAGTAATGGGGGGGGGGGCGGTAATGACATGATTGGACAGAGGACACTGTCCTTGAAAGCCTTTCTCCTCCTCTAATTTAGCACCTCTGCCACCTCCGCACTCTTATCCCACCTGAACCTACTGCTCTTCCCACTGAGAAGTTAGCTTACTTAACCAGACCAAAGTGCATGCCTGAATACACCTGCTGCATGCACACTTTCTTCCAAGAGGAACACTTCCTGCAAGCCACTGAGTATGGTAACTGGAAAGTGCATTCATGTCAGAAACCTCCCTGACAGAAAGCCTTTGTGACTGACAAGAGGTGGAGAAACCGGAGCGACAGCTTACCCAAGAAGAAAACCAAAACCCACCTATATCCAATTGTTCAGTGGTCATTCATTTTACTCCATTTACCCCAAGTAGGGCTGGACTAAGTTAAAATCATATCTCCTCATTTTTACTAGTTAGTAAAGTCAAAATCCATTATCTTCTTGGTTAAAAATAAATAAATAAGAGACACAGGACCAACCCTCTCTAGCTTTGCTTTTTGTGTGTTTTTAATGGTTTGCGAAGACTGTCTTTATGGCCTGGGGCTGCACACATGCTCTGGTCTTCCATCCCCTGAGTGATGCCAACCTCAGTCTCTAGATAGCAATTAAAGCCACATGGCTATCAGGGTTGTTTTGGAGAAGCTTTCAGAGAGCGAATAGTCTTATGCCTTCTCTCCCTATAGGAGAAGAAAAGACTGGTGTATGGAATTTACCAATTTATGATAATAATCAGTTAACAGATTCTCACTGGCAATTTATCTGAGAAACAAAGCATTCAACAGTAAATGCTTCTGCATTTCACCGACAGGTTTGCTCTCCCTGAAGAAATGACAAGCCAGTCAATCCTTTTCCAATTCAATCAAATAATTCTAGCTTTAAACAAATTGTTAAGTATGCCTTGAGTTGATTTTACTATTGAATTTAAAGCAAATAATCTTCATTTATAAAATAGACAAGCGTGGGATACCACCTCTAACAAATGATCAGGCGGTAAGATTTACGGCCAAGCAGATAGCAAACGATTGTAAAAGGTCAGCAAAAAAACTAGATTAAACTTACAAATTGTTATGAATGAGATAGGTAGTCATTTCTGTCACAGCATGTGTAATGCATTTAAATTAAAATGTTTATTGGTCTCTATTAACTTGCTAGGTATTCCTGAAAATGATTACTAAGAAATAATTTAAGACTATATCTGGACATTTCAAAGCACTCAAAATTAGAATTTGAGTACTAAAACATAAAATTTCATGAGAAAAATACGGATTAAGACTAGTGTTTTTACTAATGCTATTATCAGCAAATTCATCAACATAATTATCCAGGGAAGTGTCAACAAGTTCCTAACTAAAACCCAATTTATATTTTCAATATTGTGTATTCTTGAAGAGCGTACCAAGAGAATCCAATTTTCTTTCTCTCTCTGTTTTAACCATTCGGCACAGTGAACAAAATCCAATCCCAAAAATGTTCTCAATGCCTGTTTTTCTTTCCACAGAGGAGTATTTTTTTAAAAAACAAGAACAGTACAGGGGCACCTGGGTGGTTCAGTCGTTAAGCGTCTGCCTTGGGCTCAGGTCATGATCCCAGGGTTCTGGGATCGAGCCCCACATTGGGCTCCCTGCTCCGCGGGAAGCCTGCTTCTCCTTCTCCCACTCCCCCTGCTTGTGTTCCCTCTCTCGCTATATCTCGCTGTCAAATAAATAAAATCTTTAAAAAAAAAAACAAAAACAGTACAGAATCAGGTCAGCCATGAAACGTCGGGGCCACAACATCTCCAGAGCTGCCCTGTCGGCCAGGCACTCCCTGCCACTCGCTCTTCCTGCCTCAACTCTCTAACTTAAGGGAAACTAAGCATCTACCTGGAGTATTCAGAGATCTGCCAAGGTCCGCACTTCCCACCAGAAACAAAGTAAAAGGATGACAAAAACTAAACGGTGGTCGTGCTTCAGCTGTGGTGAAGCTGTGGGGACCACCGCTGCTTCATGAATGCTGAACATAGCCTCCTCGACCCAAGGCTCCCGTCTGCTCTGAAGGACCCAGCAGCCTCGCTGCTTCAAGAATACAGCCTGTGTGTGAATTTCAACTGCAGTTAACTATCATGTACCAGACATTTAATAAGTCACAGAGAATGTGATAAGATATATAAAAAGTCGACTATTGTGTTTTTTTTAAATATTTCATTTGAGAGAGAGAGAGAGCGCAAGCACAAGCGGGGAGGAGGGGCAGAGGGAGAAGGAGACTCCCTGCTAAGCACAGAGCTGGAGAGGAGAGCGGGGCTCTGGCTGGATCCCAGGTCCCTGAGATCTCACGACCTGAGCTGAAGTCAAATGCTTAACTGACTGAGCCACCCAGGCGCCCCTATTGTGCTTCTTTAAAAATGGGGTGGGGCAGAGGGAGGATTAAGTGAAATGAAGAAGGAAAATGAGTTTTGAAGAGCAAGTACCAAAAAGCAGGCACTTAAAATAACAGCAAAAGTTAGAATTTAAAAAAATAACAAGTCGAGTTATCACTTACTCTTGCTTCATTCTGCTGAAGTTTTTCCTCCATACTTAAGGCTGTGGGAGAGTCCAAGAGGGCAATCTACAATTTAAGCCATAAAAGAGAACTGTAATTAGTAAACAGCAATTATCTACAGGAAGGATTTATCCATGATTGATAAATTATCAAATACTGCCAAATAAACTATTAGGAAGAGATAAAATGTATTGTTCCACAATCCCCCCAAAACTGTCAGTCATCACTAAGTCTTTAATTGATGGGGTACATATCTCATAATATTCAAAACCATGGCATCCTAAAACTTACATTTGCAATACAAATCAGTAAAGCGAAGGGAAAAGACAAACATGTAACATGCTGACATTCTGCCAAAATCAAACACAACCTAAATCCCTAGATCTGAAAGGATTCATCTGTTTTGAATAAGCACAATGTAAAAATTCAAAAAGAAGCGTAAGTCTTGCTCAACCACAGGCTTCTAAGATTTACACACGTTGATACATGCAAATGAAACTCATTTATTTTCACTACTCGGTTCTACTCCACGTATGGTACGGCTACACCACAATCCATTTCTTTATCCATGTTGCAAAGGTATAAAGATTGACATGAGAATGACAGGACACCAAAATCAGGTTAGAAATGGGACAAGGCAGAGAGAGACAGGAGAGGCAAAGGGAGCCAGTTGGGGCACACAGCGGCTCTGACTGTGTTCGGAACTCATAATCTGAGAGGCAGGGACCGAGTACTCCCCCCTATGATGTCATCAGAAATAAAAGAAAGGGGTCTCAGAAAAGGTACAGATGAGAGCATATAGTCAGTGATACTGTAATAGCATTGTATGGTGACAGATGGTAGCTACACTTGTGGTGAGCATGTAGAGAAGTTGAATCACTCTGTTGTACACCGGAAACTAATGTAACACTGTGTGTCAACTAGACTCAAATAAAAAGAAAGAGAGAGGGTCTTCCTCCCTCCCCATCCCACAGGCAACCAGTCTTACCCAATAAGTTGTGTAAACCTGCAGTTTTTCTGGTCGTATGCAAGCATATTTTTGTTGTTTTTTAAACAAATAGCATGAATACTATTCTGAATAGTGCCATTTTCACTCAACAATATATCTTGGAGAAAATCCAGTACAAATAAATCCACTTCGCTCTTTTTGAACAATTCCAACGCACTGTACAGTGTCCCACTATATGGATATTCCATAATTTATGTTAGTACTTTCCTCTTAATGGAAATGCAGGTTTTTTCTAATCTTCTGTTTTACCAGCAATGCTATAAATGACTATCCTGTACCAGCTGCCTACCATGTACGTAGCTGTATGGAAAGTTCCTCGAAGGGAATTTGTGAGTCATTTATATGTATGATTTTTTTTTTAATTGCCAAGTTGTCCTCCTCAGAGACTGTAGCATTTTTTCATTATTATTTACTTTTCAATTTCTATTCAAATGAATGCAACAGCCACAAGGTGATCCTCTTAGGCTTAGTTCTACATTCAGGCTAACAAGACTACCAGGGGCCACACTCAGCCTCGGTCTACTCAGCAGAGAGCAGAGCTAACGGCAGGACGGCAAGGTCCTCGTGAAGTCTCTGCAACAGTCCTCACAGCTGTCAGGAGCTACTGTCTTTGGCCCTCTTGAAGGGTTGAGATTCAAACTCGCATGTGGGGGGCTCACCCTGGCTTAGAAGCCCCACACCCCACAGGAGGCAACATCTCCTATACAGGCATAACCTCCAAGGTCCACAAGAGACACACCCAGTTACCAGAGTCACTGCACTCAGGGAAACCCAAAGCTATGGCTTCCCGCACACATCTATAGTTATATATAGTTCATCCTAATCCAGATGCAATTCTTCTATTGACAAATAGCTGCCAGTGAAGAAATGTAAGTGCCAAGTGTTATTATGACTGCACTGTGTATATATGGTTGACAATTTTCAAAACAATTAGCAACCCCTTTATAACATGGCTAATTTTACAGACTCCACTCTTGGGATCTTTCATCTCTACTCAAAGCTGAAACATTCCTACCACATCGACTACTCAGCAGATAATCAGATTGAACACAAGCATGCAGGCTATCATGACCACCACACCTTTTGGAAACCCTACCTGAGTCCTTTTAAAAGAAATATTTGGTAAAACTAAACCATTTTCAATTAAACTACTCTTTGCACGGTGTCCATTTAGAAGAAAAATGTTCAGGATTAAATAATATTCATATGAAGTTCATGTGTTAAACCAATTCTACTACATCAAAACTGCAGTGGTTTCAACTCCCCTAACCACATGGACAAGCACCTGCTGCCTCCCGCCCTTGCCAACGTACGCTGCAATCAAGCACTGTCATCTGTGCCCATCTGATAGGTTTTCTAAGAATTTTGAGGTGTAATTTACATGCAGCAAAATACACAGCTTAATGACTATTTGTCGATGTGCCCATTTTCATATGTATATATTCATTTCACTAGTCTTAGTATTTGCATTTATTGTATTTTAAGGGACACTGAGCATATTTTCATAGATTAGGAACCATCTGAAACTTTTTTCTGTGAACTGTGCTCATATTCTTTGTTCACTTTTCTATCAGCTTGTGATCTTTCATCTTTTTTTAATATTTTATTTGAGAGAGAGAGAGAATAAGCAAGCACAAACGGGAGGGGGAAGAGCAGAGGGAGAAGCAGGCTCCCTGCTGAGCAGGGAGCCTGACATGGGCTTGATCCCAGGACCCCAGGATCGTGACCTGCGTCAAAGGCAGACTCTTAACTGACTGAGCCACCCAGGTGCCCCTATCTTATCTTTTTAATAGAAGCTCTTTTCATAATAAAGAAAGTGCACAAGTTGGCAATCTTCTTTTCCTGGTTTGTACTGATTACAGCAAATTTTTATGGTGTCATGTAAATATGCTATGTTCTTCCTTACCTTGGTCTATGTGAGCTCTCATGAAATGAGAAAGAGGAGTTATGGTTCCCTGTGGCAAATGTGTTTGGCTCTGTCTCCTGCTATTTCCTATAGTGTCTTTGGTTGTTTTTTGTTTTTTTTCCCTTTATAAAAGCTGACATCATGTTTGATTTTAATTATGAATTTCACTCTTTGCTGTAATAAAGTGCTTTTTCTAGGAATACATAATATACATAAAATGTAAAAACAACATAATGCTGTTTTCGTACCTCCTTCTTTCCCCTTTGAATTACCGAGTGGGCCTGTGCTCAGTCTTACAAACATCATGTAACAGTTTTACTCTGTGACCCTCTCAGAGATGTGTCTATCTTAAAAGTTTGCACGTGATGACATTTCTATTATCTAGCTATCATTTAAAGTTTCTCTGTGACTCCAGCTACACAAATGAGAAATTCATTCTACTTCCATCTTCTCTTCTTGTCTTGCTTTGCCTCCTGACTTTTCTGGCTTATTTCATTTCTATATTGTTTAATTTTCTCATCTCCGGATACATTCAAGAGAAAAGGAGTTCACTGACATTCTCTCTGCCAGATTCAAAGCAGAAGTCTGAAAATATGCTTTAAATATAACAAAAGAGGACACTTGAAAAGACAAGCGATCAAAATGCTTGACTTCGTTAACCATCTGAGAAGTGCACACTAAAGTCCTCTGTAACACAACTCTGTAGCCATTGGATGGTTACAATGAGCAATGGGCAATCCCATTTGTGTGGCTGGAGACCTGCAGCAACTAGAGCTGGCACTTTCATACACTGATGGTGGAATCTCACCTGGTAGAGGCTCTTTAAAAAACTGTCTGGCAGCATTTGCTAAAACTTAACACATGTACACCTTCTGACCCACCAACTCCACTCTTAGGTGTAAACCTAGCAGAAATGCATCCATACATTCACTAAAAGACATGGAGAAGAGAGTCAATAGCAGCACTAATAGCCCCAGAAAGGAAACTCCCCAAATGCCCATCAAAATTAGAATGCATAAATGAGCTGGGACATACGTGTATGATGGCATTCAATACAGCACTGAGAATGAACAGATCTATAACTACATGCAACAACGTGGATCAACCTCACAAACACAACATTGAATGAAAGAAATGAGATCAAAAGAGTATATACTGCATGACTCCATTTATATAAAGAAAAACTGGCAACAGTAAAACTTAATCTATGCCCTCAGAAGTCAGGGTAATGGTTACTCTTGAAGGAAATGGCAGGTAGTACCTGGAAAGGGGACATCAAGGGGGTTTTCCAGGGGGTTGGTAAATTTCTGTTCCTTCATGTGTGTGCAGGTTAGATGGATGGATTCAGCTTGCGAAAATTCACTGATTTGGATTCTTACAATATGTAATTTTCCTGTACATATGCAATTCTTCAATAAAGAGTTCAAACATATGTATGTATATACAAACTACTACATATATATCTGTATATCTCTATGTAGTAAGCAAATACATGTTTGATTCTTGTGCTTTATTTGCGTTGTGCTTTTGAAACTCTGATGCACATGACATTTTGCAATGGCAAATACATAAACTTATTAAAAGGAGGAGTTGATTTTTATTTAGCTGTCCTTAAGCAAATAATAGAACTTTGATTTGAATAACATTCTCAATGAACCATGGCAGCATTTGGAATATTGTAGGAATAGAGCAACGTCATCAGAAAAAATTATACAGAGATTTTTAATGGGCACTTAAGAACACCTGCTTATTTTATTGAGCATCACAAATTTAATTAATTTAGGATAAGCCTGTATTGTCTCACAATAATTTATAGTTTCATAGTATAATAAATTATTTTAAATTGGGACTTCTGTTTTTATTATAATGTATTAGGTTTAACAAAGAATTTTATCTTCAATGCACTCTAAAATAGACTTAACTATCTTTTCCATCCTCACCCTCAAAACCACAGCAACAAAAATACTCCTTTAATAATTTGGTCATGAAAGAAGATAAAAGGCAACTGGCACACACAATACCTCTGAAGACACTCCTCAGATAATGTAAAAGTTTTAATAAATTAAAGTTTTCTGTCCATATAATAAAGCTCCCTTCAAGGATTTCCTCAGTTTAATTTAAAAAAGGCTGGTCTTTTTTTTCCTTCATTTCCATAACTTAGTAAACCATTAAGTACAACAAGTTCCATCAAGAATTTTCCAAATACTTTCCTTCATATATAATAGTTTGGGTGATCCTATCAAATCACCCTTAAATGTTCACCTCAGATAAGTAACGTTTTAATAACACTGAAAAAAAGATCCCAATAACATGGTGTATGAATTAAAATGACTATCATGATTCATGTCATAAGTTAGAGTCTGACATCACATAGAGCTGGATCATTCATTCTGGCAACTTCCTTTCACACACAGGAAAGGTCCACATCAAAACATAAAATATACATGGAGATATTTCTAAGTGCAATGAACAATTCCTATTCCACTGTCGTCTGCCATTGTATGGGAAAGAACTGTCAGGTGTATTCCAGGACACAGGAAACTCAGTGAGGTTTTCATCCTGCTGATAGTTTCAGGGGCCAAACCACTTACAGTATGTCAAAGGCTTCAAGGGCCATATATTCCTAGATGAAAAGCTGTTCTAGAGAGAGCACTCTGCTTTTAAAGAAGAGCATTTTTTTTTAATGATACACTTAAGACATCCATTTATGGGTTAAGAAAATGGGAAGAAACGGATCTTTGTTTATTTCTAACTTGAATCTAAGTTGAATATTTTAAAAAGCTATCCCTGATTTTCTTTCAAGGTGGCCTTTCTTCACAACAGGATCTAAAACCTATAGAACCTAATTCATGCTACTCATCTCAAAATGTAACTCTTTGTGTACACTATGAAGATTAAGGTCACTGTGAAAAAAACAAAAGGACAAAGCCCCTTCACTAGAAACCCAAAAAAACCTGAAGTGAGGCCATTTTGACAATCAAGGCCTCAGGGACACCATGTCAGCCAGCCACAGGCTTGTCACACATGTCACTGTATCACATAACCACCTCTGTAATGGGCAATACAAAATAGATTCGGAAAGGTCTTCAAACAAGTCTTTCATTCTGTTAAAATACATTTTCAAGTCATAAAATGCATGGGTAGAATTTTAAATATTACTCCAAGCACCTCAATTTCCTTCCACTAATGGAGATTATGGTGCTAATCCTACTGCATGCTAAGTTTCCATCCATAATTGATAACTATTAGATAGTTAATCATTTCAGGTTTAGTGGATAAAATCTTCCACACAGACCACATAATGAATGCAAAGGCCAATGGGAGGGTAATGTAAAGGAGAGACTGGCTAACTCATTCAAAGCTTTACTTAGCACTTATTTACTCAAATCAATACAACAAGTGAGATAATTGTCTCATTAAGATCTAGAAATAGATGTCATTACTCAAAGAAAATTATCCATAAATCTCAGAAAAACCCAACCTGATTCCCTTGAGCGAGCAGTGTTTTCAGTCTGGCTATTTCAGCACGCAGCTCACGGATGAGTTTGACGTTGGCGTCCTCATTAATAGTAGGCTTGTTGATGATGTTTTTGGCTCTATTTGCATAGCGAAGAGTACTTAGGGTTTCTCCGTAATTGACATCAGCAGGTGAAATGGCTGTGAAGAATGAATTCAAAAAATAATTTATCCAGCACTCCGTGTTTCATTTAACACAAAGTTGGTTCGTAATTTAAAAGTCAGATTAACCCCAGGTCATTGGATAGACTAAATATTCATTGCCACAGTAATGAATATTAAAAATTATCTAAGATTTATAGGAAAGGTGCTCACTATACCAAATTAAATGTCATTTTGCTCCTCTTAAGTCTAGAATCAGCTAGCTATCTAACCAACTCTAAAATGAGATATGAGATACTCCACCGTACTTTAAGGAGTTTCTCTGTTGAAGACACACAAAGAAGATGATTTCAAGATTATCTGTATACTTCTCAATATTACATAGAAATTAAAATACTTTTAAAAGTTTTGGCAAAGCCTACCACCTGTAAAAATCTAAAGCATGATCATTTTTCAAAACAGTAAGTCAGTGAATTCTTTTCCTCCTAACGCTTTGGTTAATTGCCCTGCCCCCACCACAGCCTGTAGCGCTCAGGTAACTAGACAGTTGCATCTGGGGTACACACCCCAGGATAGATCCCTTTTCTCCAGCGTTAATGCAAGGCCTGCGGAGTGGGGAATATGCAAACAAGGGAAGGGAAGGGGAGAAAAGGCAAGAGAAAGTGGGTTTAAAAGTTTCTGAGTTCCCCCATGCGACTGTCTCCCCTTTGCACATTTTTCTTCTCTGCTACACTTCTTCCTGTTAGTGATAATGCAGCAGCACAGTATAGAACTGCTATCATTTATGTGCATTGTTGTTTTTCCTCTCAATTCTCATTTTAAATTCCACATGTACTGCTTTAGAATAGAAAAACAGAAGTTGGGTTATTTTCACTTTATGTTCCTATAATGATTTTCTCCTGTGAGCTCGTGGATTGAAAAGTTTCTATCCTGTACTTTGAGCAAAGAAAGGGTAAGAGTCATTCCGCACATAGTATCCTAGCTTGCACAACACATGGTAAGTTTATCTAACTAGGAAATGGGAAAGAGAGTTAATAATAGGATAGTGTAGATGAGATCAGTCATTTTCTTCAAGATAGAAAAATTATTATTTTTAAGATTAAAAAAAAAGGTACTATTTCCTAATGAGACACTTGAAACTTACACATCTACAGTTAGTTCACATAAAACACTATATACTGAGGAGAAGAACTTGGAATTCTTACTGGCGATCATGATGGTTTTAGAGTTCCCACCAAGGCTATCTTTCAACAACCAAGTCAAAACAGAATCCCTGTAAGGCACAAAAACTTGCTTCTTCTTCACAAGAGGGTTTGCTGCATCCTGAGATAAGTCGGCTGCACGGGAGAAAAAGAAAAAAGAAAGAAAACAACAATTAGTGAGGTTTTTTGCTCTAATTTCGCTTCAGAAAACCTTGAGGCTATAATCTCGGTCTGTAACACAAACACTAGACATAACTGCTTCGTGCTAATACAGTACCGCGAAGAGTAAGAGGCAGCAGGGGACAAGCAGAAACCCACCTAAGGCAGAAATGACACTTCCCAGAGTCACGAGGGATTTGTTAATATTCCCCCCTTCCTTCAGTCTAACCCCAGTGGCACCAGTAGCATCTGCGCGCTCACTTCCAGCAAGATCGACTAGGTGGATCTTACTCACGGTTTCACACGGCATTTCAGAATCAAATTTCGCCTGTAGCAAAACATAAAAGCAAAACTGAAGAGGTGTAAAGAGCCCTGATGCTGTCTGCGATACAAATCCTAATTATTTTCCACGCCTCACTGTGATTTCTCAGGGTAGGGTTGTTTTCCGTTTGTTGTTGTTGTTGTTTTAATCTCGCTGTTTCATAGGCCTTCTCACTGATTATAGAAACTTCCAAATGAAACTGAATACAACAGAAGTTGACCACACGTCATTCTTAAACTTTCTGAAGAACTGTTCCATTACTCCAATCACTCGGTCGTTCTCAACAAAGGCTTACTGAGTCTCACTGTGGCGGAACAGGACACAAGTCGTTGAGGGCACTCACAAAGAAAAAAGAAGTAAACAAATAACTAGTTTTGTTCTCATCTGGAATCTTCAGCATTCCAAGCACAAGGGCTCTCCAAAATAGGATAAATGTAGACAGTTATGTAAGAGATAATTTGACCGTTATTCAATGTTAAAACTTGTTTCACAAATTATAAAAAAACTGAAAACCTTAAATAATGTATTCCTTGATTCTGAATTCTACCAAAATTTTACCTTCCCAAAGACTTTTAACCTATATTTAATAGTCTGAACTGAAATGCCAAAAAGAAATTACCATACTTTGACAGAAATGTAAGCCTCTTACAAACTAGGGATGGCCACATCCTAATCTACATTAACCAGAAAGGAGAAAATCCAATAAACTACAGTAAATCAAAAAGCAAAGATCTGGGATGCCTGGGTGGCTCAGTCGGTTAAGCGTCTGCCTTCAGCACAGGTCATGATCCCAGGATCCTGGGATCGAGCCCCACATCAAGCTCCCTGCTCAGTAGGGATCTGCTTCTCCCTTTCCTGCCCCCTGCTTGTACTCTCTCTCTCTCTCTCTGTCAAATAAATAAAATATTAAAAAATAAGAAAACCAAAGATCTAACTAAAGGTAAAGATGTGGAGCATTTATTGGGAGTTGTTCTGATTGACCTTTGAGAATTTTTTTTTAATTTTCTTTGCTCTGTGATCCCCTTCCTTAATTAAACACTATCTTTTTGTATCTGATATGTTCAATGGTTAATACAGGTCAGGACATCCCCAAACTCCTAACACATGTTGAAGCCCTGAGAGGACCTTCTGTGTATGTTTGCATTCATCTGTTCTACTGGCCTAGGTCTTAAAATATTTACCCTCAATAATTTCAGGACATATTCAAAATGCTCTCCACCTCCTGATCAGAATGAGTTCTTACATCAGTACTTAAAAATGTCGGTTGCCCTTTAATATCATTCTCATAATCCTAATCAACACTGTGGGGTGAGTGCCATGGAGCGATAATGTACCACAATGAGTTACTCACCTTGGCCCCTAGCTGGTCTGACTTGGCAATCCATTATCTCCCACAGAGCTCGCAACAATGAAAACTTTTGCTTAATTATCCACAAAGCAAGCTTTTTTTTATGTCTAAAGCAGGGCGGAAGCCTGCTAAGTATTTCTTAAGGGTACACATCTGGACATTTCAAACGACTGTGACTGTAACCACTGAGAGACTCTGCACACAGCACATGTTCGACTCCAATTAACAAGGAAATGACAGGCAGTCACCTTTGCCTGCCGCTGCTCCCGGTTCAACAATGATCAGTCCTCAGCTGGTGCTAATCACCTAGTAAAGACCTCAGGGATGGAGCCAGCCGGCCCTGCAGCTGCCCTCACCTGAGTGAACTTGATGGTGAAGATGGCATGAGACCTGCTACTGACGTCGTTCATCCCAGTCGCTGCCGTGGTTCGATTGATATTTCCCGCATCCATCAGTTCTTCGACATCACTGTAATTCTGTACTAAATGTTTGGATAAATCTGGGGAAAAAAAGTGTTGGGGGGGAGCTGAGGAAATCTCCCTAATCTATAGTAAACAGAGTAAGAAATTTACCTCTGAAATAACACACGACTGTACAGTACAGACTTGTTTAAAGATCTTACTTGTTCCTGCAGTGTGGTAGTTTACAACACGGACTCAAGGGCTGGGGCTGTCTAGGGTCAAATCCCAGTCTGCCGCTGACTAGTGGACTTACATGGTTATGTGCGAGTCACTTAACTTCACTGAGCCTTAGTCACCTCTGATAATACGTACTTATCACATAGGGGATTTATGATGTGTTAGCTAATATCATCAACCACGTGAGCATTAGTCATAGCAAGGGAAATGTAAACACTACCTTCAGGCAAAACCAGAGAGCATTTTTTAAGCCTTTAAAAACACTTTTTTATTCATTTTGGGAGAACATTCATATGGTTCTAAAATCGAAGTCAACAAAAGGTATACTGTGTAAAGGGTCTCCCTGACCCCTATCCTAAAGTCCACTCCCCACTTCTCTTCTGTCAGGCAACCCGATGTTATTAGTTTCTCCATCCACTTCTAGAAATAACCCATACATATACATAAAACCATCTTCTTTCCCCTTTCAAACATGGCAGTGTACCATAAACATTGTTTTGCATCCTGCTTTTTTCTATGTAATAACTGAAGAATATTCTGTATCAGTTAAGGTGATTCCTCACTCATTTTTATGGCTGCAGAGCATTCAACTGTATGCATGTACCATAATCAATTTCACCAGTCTCCTGTTGAGACCATAGATGGTGGTTGTTTACATTTTGTTTCCAATTACAAGTAACGCTACTACAAATAATCTTGTACACAGGTCTTTTCAAATATGTGTGAATATTTCTGCAGAATAAATTCTGAAGAGGCCAAAGTGCTAGATCCAAGCACATTTGAAATTTTGATGGATATTGCAAAATTGTCCTCCATAGAAGGCAATTTACACCCAGCAGTAGCAGTGTATAAGACTGCCTATCTCCCAACACTGTCCTACCAGGCTTACTTACATCTACCAGGGATAGGTAATAAATGTTATCTTGAAGATTTTTTTATTCTGCTTTTCTCTGAGTATGAGTGAGGCTGAGCATTCTTTCCTCCATTTAAAAACCACCAGCATTGGGCGCCTGGGTGGCTCAGTTGGTTAAGTGACTGCCTTCGGCTCAGGTCATTATCCCAGAGTCCTGGGATCGAGTCCCACATCAGGCTCCCAGCTCAGCGGGGAGCCTGCTTCTCCCTCTGACCCGCTCCCCTCTCATGCTGTTTCTCTCTCTCTCTCAAATAAATAAATAAAATCTTTAAAATTTTTTTTTAAAAAACCATTAGCATTTCCATTTCTGTGAACAGTCTATTCACATCCTGTGTTCGTTTTTCTACTTGGTTGTTGGATCTGTCATCACTGAGTTACAGGATCTCTTTATATATTAGGGAAATGAGTCCTCTGTCTGAAACTTTGATTGAAAAGATTTTCCCCAGTTTGTAAGTTCTCTTTTTACTTTGCTGATGGTGTTTCTGTCAAGTTTTATTTTTTTACCATTTCAAATTTAAAACTTTTATTTCATGGTTCCTGAGTTTTAAGTGAAATTTCTAAAAGACTTCCCTTCTCCAGATTTCTGGAAAAAAGGTTAACCCATAGTTTCTTTTTTTTTTTTTAAAGATTTTATTTATTTATTTGACAGAGAGAGAGATAGCAGAGCAGGAACACAAGCAGGGGCAGTGGGAGAGGGAGAAGCAGGCTTCCTGCCTAACAGAGAGCCCGATGCGGGACTCGATCCCAGGACCCTGGGATCATGACCTGAGCCGAAGGCAGATGCTTAACGACTGAGCCACCCAGGCACCCCAACCCATAGTTTCTTATAGTCATTTTATTATGTCACTTTTGACATTAAAATCTTTCTCCATTTGCCATTTATCCTGGTGTAAAAATGGAGCTATAGTACCAATTTACTCTTTTTTTTTTTCCCTCCCAAGCAGCTTAACAAACAATATTCCTCCAATGTTTCACGATCAGATTTACTAGAAACTAAATCCCTCTAAGTATGTACATCAGATTCCAGATGTTTTGCCGTTTGATTATTCTGTCTTTTCATAAACCAGCTTTATAATACGTCTTAGCATCTGATAAAAGACAATTAAAGGGAAGTATGAAGGCACAGTTAGCCTAAAAGCTATTAACAATAATAGCTATTCCACGCTCCACAAAACAAATACATAGTTATACACCTTACTTTGGGCATAAAAGGCAAAATTTCAATTGGAAATTTAATAAAATGCACATGGAGTCCTGTGGGTACACTTGGTATCACTAAGTGAAAAAGACAACCAAAACAGGAACACCTTTTTAAGCCCAGGACCAGTTCTCAGCCTTGCCTCCAATGAGACACAGACGAAGGACAAGACCACAGGAACGCGCCTTTCTGGGCGTGATTCCTACGGTCGGCCACAACTCAGCCGCCTCCGCGAGTCAGCCGACAGGAGCTGCAGTATCCAGGCAGCCTCAAACCCAGCCTGTGTGTGAATACTGAGCAAGGGCCAGCCCTTGACCAGCAATACCTGAGGCACAGCTAGTGTCTTCACAACACAGATGCTGAGGACCGCAGCGCAGGAAACTCTGCCAGTGCTCTTCTCACAAGGTGAGAAGTCTTAGAATCTCCCGATGCTCATAGGCTACCCTTAAGGTCAGTAAAAACAGACCGCTAAGATGCAGCGCCATGTGAAGAGACAGCCTGCAGGGTTGCTTATGCTGCCCGTGAACCCTGGACAACAAATTTGCAGAGACTTCTTCTTCTGAGAGCCAGAGGAAATCTACTGGCGAGCGCACAGAATCAGCGCATGCCCGGTGAAGTACAAATTCACACTAGTGACAGCTGCAGTGCCAGCACGTCGTTTTTACTAGACTAAAATGCCAAAGACAAGGACATTTTTCACATCTCACCATTATCTTACGTTTTTTCCCCTGAAACTACTGTTTTTACACAAACTCCCAAGAAGAGAGCTGTGAAATATTCGCTCTTACCCTCAACATACGGTCCTTCTTTTGGATGCTCTCGGACTCTTAGATTGAAGGTTTTGGATGACTTCCGCCTAAGCAGATCTCTCACACGTTCATTATAAATTTCCAAGTAGCTAAAAATTTAAATAGGACTGAACTCAGTAAAATTATTTCCCCATTAATATAAGAACAAAACAGTAACAGTAGCAACATACAGTTACGGGTGGTAGCCATGTATCAGGTACTATGCTTAGCACGGTAAGTGGATTTCTTCATTTAATCCCTAAGATAGCCCAGAGGCAGGTACCACTATTATCCCCATTTTACAGTTGAGGCAATAGAGGTACAGAGTTTTTTAAACAACTTGTCCAAGGCCACATAGCCACTGAGAGGTCAGGCAGCCATGAGGACCTCTGATTGCCATGTTTGTCCTCAAAACCAATGAGAAGACTGGCTCCCCGCCAAGGTTTAATTTCAGGGAGGGAAAACAACACTTCAACCATCCAGATTTACTTAAAGATTAGATGTACAGTGATCCTACCAACACAAGGAATAAAACAAACCTTATTCAAATAAAAGGCGGCAAGTGAACGGGGTATACACTTAAAAGTCAAAAGCTCACTCTATTCGAGATAAACATCCTATGTCAGAGTTTCTGACCTAGCAGGATTATTCCCACTAGCCACCCCAAATCCTAATCCAAACTGCACCCAGGAAAGTCACTAAAAACAGACATATTTTAAGCTTTGCCTCTAGCTATGATAGTACAGGAGGAGAAAAGGCAGACTCTCCCTTCAGGAATCCAAAGGCTTTATCCTTTATCTACTCCTTGTGCCCAGAGAGAAGCTCCAACCAAGCTCACACACTCAGTTACTCAGACCATGGGCCCTACCTGACTTCAGTTCGAAAAGACGCTTCGTCCCATCTGGTGGTTTCATTTATTTGACTGAAGAGCCCTTCACAGATCCGAGGTATTAAGCCAGAATCGCCCTGCAGTGGGAAGGAATGCCACAGCTGTCACTGGAAATAAAGGCAACCGATGGCTGAATCTGCAATTTGCCAGAGTGGATTTAGACCCAAGGGGCCTTCATGTCAACTCCAGGCCTACCACCGCAGGGCCCCAGATACAGCATTTACCCCCTTGGGACTGCTTCCTAGCCTCTGAAATCAGAGGATGGAGCCTTCTAACTTCTACATGCTAGGTCTAGAGTAATATACAGTTATCAGCTCTTAATCAGTTAAATCCTGACTTGAAAACAAAGAAGATCTATTCCTTAAACTTTCAAACAAGATGGTCTACAGCTGTAGAATAAATGTGGAAAATTTGATCGCGTCAAATGACCAAAGAAGGTGAAACAGACACTGAGCAGAAAAGAAAAACACCAATGAGACCTTGGTAAGCACTCAAAGTAGCTGATAACTGTCTTAACCCTTAGGTGACAGGACCACATTGAAACATGTATTATATCCCTCCTTTGATGCACTCATCCCAACTCTGGCCTTCCAAGACAGATTTTAATACGTCATATTACTTATGCGACATGGGCATCTTCAGGAGTATTCGTGGTTCAGCCGGCATTAACAAGCTGATGAGCCTCAGAACAATATTAAAGATGAGGCCAAATGTTCTTGTTAGGAAACCAAAACTTCAGAGCTTCAGTGTTTCCTTCCAAAGACCATCCCTACCTTCACCCTACATGCCCTCCCCCCAAAAAAATATCATCACAGCATTAAGAGAACTTTTTTCCCCTTACAACATTAAGTTGGTACCAATTCTTATCAAGGAAAATTGGGCTTTTTGCCATATTTTTTGTGTGTGTGCCTTTAAAAAATAAAATAAAAAGGAAGACCCAAACAGGGTTCAACTAAATATAAGGTCAGAGAAAAACAGGTGTAATTTAGGAATGCTTTATGAATGTTTAACTTAACGTAAAAGAGCTACTGGCGGATCAACATGCAAATTTCATTTTTAGAGAAGACTTTTTTTTTTTGCAAGGGCACAGTGGGAAACTAGGAAGGGAGAAGTTATGATAAAAGGAAATGTGAAACTCCTGAGACTAACTGCTTATTCTCCTATGTAGTCTTCCACACTGTTCAGCACTGAGGACTCACAGCACAGCATTTATCTACTTCCGTAAAGGAAAAGCCTGAATTTAAGAAGCCAGGTCAAATGCTTTCATCAGGAAAGACCCACCCTCCTTTAATGCACCACTACTACTTTGGGGCGCCTAGGTGCCTCAGTTAGTTAAGCGGCTGCCTTGGGCGCAGGTCATGATCCTGTGGTCCTGGGATCGAGCCCCGAGTCCGGCTTCCCTGCTCAGCAAGGAATCTGCTTCTCCCTCTCCCTCTGCCCCTCACCCTTGCTCGTTCTCTCTCTCAAATAAATAAAAATAAAATCTTTTTTAAAAAACACACTACTACTACTTCTGTGAACCACCAAACCTTTGGCATTAAAGACCCCACTGTGCGTGCCAGCAGGAAGCCCTGTGATCACCGGCTAGTACCTCCACAGCTAGAACAGGCCACAGGTCTGATAGGAAATGAAGAGTTTTCACTATGACATAAGTAAAACACACCAGCACTATCTAGATCTGGAGAAAACACAGAACGAGACAAAGTTCCTGTAATAATGTCTAGTTTTTACTCCTCCATATTTTGGGGCAAGTATAACTTTAATGTCTGTTAGTTTATACAGCATAACTACTAAACTCTACATAGTCCGTAACTATATAGACTCTATGTAAACAGCATAATTCTCTTTTTATGTATATGATGGAGTTATGTAGTACCTTTCCACCAGATTTTTTTTTTTTTTACATTTCTCTTGAGGAAAATATGTTTTGAATAATTTTTAAAAAAGAACAGAGTTCAGTAATTTTATTCAAACTGTTGTGTTGGCAGAAAAGAAGAATAAATTACTTATGGGCCCAGCACACTTTTTTGATAAGATTATAAAGCCTTTAAAAACAGAAAATGAACTGAGACTTGCATCCAATTATTCATGCTTATAAACTTAAAACTATTTCTAATTTAAAATCAAAGGAAACTTAGTCCAACTTATTACTGAGTTTTATCTTATTGCTAAAGAATGATCAGAACATGAAAAGCAAGTTAGTACAGACCAAGTAGATAAAAGAGATAATTCTATCAGTCCAAAGAGAGATAATGGGAAATTTTCTTCCCACAGTGTAAAACAACGTACAGAATTTCCCATCATAGTGTATGACTTTCCCGATCCAGTTTGCCCATATGCAAAGACACAAGCATTATAACCTTCAAATGCAGACTTCACGACATCTGTGCCAAGGGTTTTGAAAACCTGAAAGCAGGGAAAAAAAAAAAAAAAAACACAAAAGATACAATTACCATGGATTTTAATAAAAAGCTCCTTCAATGTTGACAATATTCTTGAATGCTACTTTCGTCTTGTAAGGATTACACCACATAAATAAATCATCGCAGAACTATTAACAGAATATGTATGTACCCCCGTTTTTAATCAAAAGGAAACTTTTTAAGGAAGCAAAAAGCAACCCCATCCTTTTTCCTACTTAACAAAAAACTGAAATATAAAAATGTAAACATGGCCAAGTGACAATCATATCTAAGAAGCAAAGATGATTTTAAAGCATGATGATTTACCATTTCAGAATTAAACTTATAGTTATTCATTCTATCAGAGCTTCCAGAAACTAAATATTCAAAACCTAAAAATCACAGCAGCCAGAAGTTATTGCTCAAACCATGCCAAATCAATGCTGTCATTTTAAGGGTCCAGCTCTTCATCAAAATAAGTCTCAGAAGGTTCTCTGAGAGCTGAGTGATGGGTGGGTGTGAATGAGGCTGAGATGGTCAGGCTCCCCTGCGTTAGAGTCCAGATGCTTTTTCCTATTTGAATATTTTCCCAGGATGGAGAGGGCAGGGAGATGAGCTGTGCGGGGCCTGGGGTGGCACCTACAATGGCCTGAGTCCATGTCTGTCACACCACATAATTGCAGTGGGACACTTTGGGGAATGAAAGAGGATGAAGGACAAATCCTTCACCCAGACAGCTGATGTAGATGAGGCCAGTAGAGATGTGTGGCCGTCCTAGGTACACACAGTTGGGAAGGGGACCAACCAGAGCTTTCCAAACCCCACAAGCCTTCATGTTGCCTCCTGCCTTCTTGGACCAACAGGCACACTAAGGCCACATAAAACACCTCCCTCCTTCAAAAAACGAGGCGCGTCAGCAGCTGAAGGGATGTCACGAGGCAGCGTTATCAGGTTCTTGTCAGAGCCAGGAGGAGGTGAGGCACTGCATTGTGGGGTCACCACAGTCCAAGGTGGGAGCTTCGTCAACCCCTCAGGAGTGTTCAGTCTCTATGAGTGATGCTGGGTTAGCTAAACTTGAGACCCAGCATCTCCCCTGCGGGGATCTAAGCCCTCCAGCCACCCCCTAGAGAGGGCCGATAAACACCAGCCCTCTCAATCTCAGCTCCACGTAAACCATCCCTGCTAATAATACAGCCTGTCATCCAAGGACAAAATAATAACACAGCCAACCAGACTTCAGCTTTCTTCGGGCACCATCTTGCCACCATCTTTCTTCAACTTTGTTTTCTCAGTTTCTTGGTCAAAGATTTACAAACTATCCTTTCAATGGAGTCACTTCCAAAATGACCAAAATTAATGCTCTTAATTTGTATCCATTTCAGCTTTAAGAGGGGCTATTTTTTAGTCCTATTCTCAAATTCTGGATGACTTACTCAACTCTCAACTATGACAGCAGACCACACTGTGTTCATATATTAGTCCTCATAAAATGCTACTGGGTGGGTAGCATCACTTAGGTCCATCGTTCAGGGGGAGAAGTTAGATGAGTGAGCATATACAGTGAGTGGCAGAGTTGGGATTTGCACCTGGGTACTTCTGACCCCCAAACTTGTGCTTCTAAAGACTTTATCACTATGTGGCCTCTTCCCACATCCTTGACATCAGCCACGAGGCCCCAGCCATCCCTGAAAGGACCTCCTCCCACAAACTGTGAAGAAGCAACCCGGAATCCCAGGGAGACTCACAGCTCCAGACCACCCATCCAAGGTTAGCTTTCAGCACTGTATATGGAACATGAGGAGAAACTCTAAATATTTCAATTCTCCCTAATTACACAAAAAATAAAAATTATCATTTTTACCATGTCACAGGGTGCCACTGGATAGGAAGAACAGCCTTACATAAAGTCCCAAAGAATAAGAGAAGGATCTTCTATAACACCTTTGCCTGAGGCTAAAGCAAAGTCATAGAAAATATATTTAAATCAAACCCAAAAGTTTTTCAAAATAAAACTCTTTCCCAGGGTTAAAATCCCACCCACCATTTTACTATTACCCATTTTTCCAGAAAGCTGATTCAGCTTGAGTTCTCTGAGCGACCTGGGGGCCCAGAGCAGGTGGGGGCGGCGGGGGGCATGGAGCACTGGTGGACATTCTACAAAACAGGCCTAGAATATGCAGGTCTGGAGGTGCTGAGACCCAGGCCAGGCTCAGTCTTCATGTAACCCACCCAGAGTTGGCTCAGGACCCAGAAGCAGCAGGACACTGCCCACATCTCCGGGGTTCTTGCAAGGAAAACAGGTTACCCCACTGCAGCTCCCAGGAAGGACTTGTTTAGCATCACCTATCAAAGCAAGGTGAGGAGGGAGGGCCTGCTTTGTGAGACCTACGACCTGCTCTCCCCCACTGGCATCAAAACCCTGCTGAGATCCTCACCTGGCCAGGTGACCCAAAATCCACCTTGCTGATTGTCTCAGCACAGATTTTCAAGCTGATCTGAGGGTCATCCAAGGCATCACAGGCCTCACTTGAGGGAAACTGCCCACAAGAGGGCACTGTTAAAACAAAAGACTCACCCATCCAGCTTGTCAACTGGGAGACTGTAGGTTTCAAGTTTCTCCAGGGTTGAATCAAGGAACAGGTTATGTGGGATCAAAGCCTCCCTTTGGACTTTTGAAGAACCATAAGGAAAATCAGACCTTATTTAATGGTCTTTAATTTATGTGAGTATAGACTTAAATCACTCTGATTTTTTTTTCTAAATCTAAAATTAATTTGTAAGAAAGAAATATTACTGGTCATCTTACTTGGGTATTTGTTTAACTGTAAGGGAAACTTGAGCTGAACTACAGTAATAGGCATGATATATTTTCTCAAGATGCCCTTATATTCAGATGAGAAGGAGAAGAAGACTGACATCATGCTAAGCTTGCATCTTCCCCTGTTAATAGCAGGGATGCAACCTGACAGCTCAAATCGTGTGCCAGATAAGGCAGCATGAAAACTTTAATCAACAGTCAAAATTGAAGCTCTTTTTAACATTAGGGGTAAAGGAAGATTACCCTTTTCTCTAATACAGCGATTAAAAAAATAGGTATTTTCCTGTATCTATGCTGACTTTATTAACATGTGATTCTGCTAGAAAGCAGTATTTACTAACACATCTCCTGCTTTTTTAGTTTTGTAATTTAATGGAACAATGTCAGGTTATTTATATATAGCTATATAAATAAAGTCAAAAAACCCAAAACACCTGAGAAGAGATGCTATGCATCCACCTGAAGCATGGAAATTATCCCTATCAGAAGGTTTTCACAAACTAAAACTATTTTTAAACTCTGAGCTTTTATTTTTAACTTCCAAAAAAGCTAAACTTGTTACTGCTTCCCTGATCTTGACTCTTGTAGAACCAGGAAATGTCATCTGTTCCCATAAATTAACCACCATCTGTAGACGAGTTCTGTCAGTCAGCAAATGTTTATTGAGCATCTCCAGCGTGCCAGGCCCTGCTGTCACACACCGCTCTGCTCCTCCCATTATGGACTTTCCCTCAGCACAGCCCTCTATCCTCAAAAGGCCTCAAATTCAGGTTAAATAAGGAGGAAAATCCAGCCGCTCACTGGGTAAGTTAGAAGTGGAAACCTTCATGGCTCTTCGTCCATCCTCTGTGGAAGACATTCTGAAGACTGTAGAATGAAATGGCTTTTCCCTTAACAAATTCCCTCACACCAGCCAAGTTGGTGTGAGCCTCACATTCCAATATTAAAGCCAAAATCTGGATTCCAATACCTATAACATTCTATTCCTCACCACACTCCTAGCTACCAATGCTGATTAATCAGTTACCTCAGCAGCAAAGTCTTCTGCACTGCTGTTAAAAAGAAAACCACAGGCCCAAAATGGAGTCACTTATGCTAAGCCAAGTCACAAAACCGGGGTTCAATACCTAACCTAATCGCAATTTCAACCTCCCCCAGATATGTAGTCTTAACTGGCCAGTCAGGAATTTTTGATCAGCACCAATGAAGTAATCTGTCATATGGGCCTTCTCCATCCCCCAGAGGAAGATGAGGTGATCCACCTAATAACATCCTCTACTCTTCCCCTGAGGGAAGATGATCTTGCCAGCAACAATCCTTTCTTTTCTTTTGCTACTTGTCTGGCCCTGTTTCTACCTATAAAATCCTTCCATTTGGTACAGCTCTTCGAAGCTCCTTTCTACTGGCTGGATGGGATGCTGCAGGATTCATGAATCAATGAATAAAGGCAATTAGATCTTTAAATTTACTTGGCTGAATTTTGGTTTTTAACATTACTCACTCGTTCATTTATTCATCAACAGGGCTGCCCTATCCGTCTATTATTTAGAAGAAACCAACCCTTCTCTCTTATGCCCTGAAGGCCTTCCAGTGGCATCTCCACTGCCCTACACTTCAGCCCTAGGACCTCAACTCTGCTACTATTAGGTCGACGAGGTCTATGGACTTGAGCAAGTTATTTAAGCTTACTGAGTCTCTTTGACAAAGAAAAACGCAGTGCTAAAGTTAAATCTGGTCTTGCAAGAATCAAATGAGACAGGGTATACGAGCACCAAGCAGAGTTTTAGACACCAATGCCAACTCAGGCAGCATTGACTGCTGGCCCCTCTTTCATACCAGGCAACTCCTCTCTCTCTGTGGCTCTCATTCTTATTGCTGTCATCCTTTCTATTTTTGCCCTGATGCTGAATTCACATGTTCTGGATACAATCACTCCAACCCTCTCCTCTGAACAATTCCTCTAAGTTGTCTATCTTAATGCCAACATTTACATTGCCTCAGTAAAGCCAATAGCTTCCACATACCATTTCCTAACCAACTATAGTTCTCCAATGTTGAGGTAGGTACAAATCACCTGGGAACCTGCTAAAAATGCAGTTTGATTCAGTGGATCTGAAATTGGTCAAGATTTTGCATTTTTAACACATTCTAGGCAATGCGATGATTCTCATATGTGGACACACCAAGTTGCAAGCAACTAGACAATAATAGCACTTTAAGATGCCACCTCATGGATTATAACCCAGAGCAGGCAAAACAGGAATTCTTATCCTAGTTTTAACACATCAGTCCTGAAGCAATATATTTAAAGAAGCTGTTAACAAGCCAGGAAGAAGCCCATAATCCTCCTCTCTCACTGGTGCTTCCCCATAACTCTGCTCTGCTCAAATACCCAGCTGGTCCCAGGGACATGCCCTTGTCCTGCTCACATGCAACGCCAACATGCAATGGTTTACTGCAAGAATCTTTGGGTCTGTTCCTCTATGCCCATGTCATGTCTACATTTTAGACCATAAAAGCCTATAGCATGGGTTTCCTCGACAATTTCCAGCTACACTCTAGATTCTAGAAAAATTCTGGGGGAAAAAAAGTTTGTTCCTTCTAGAATCCTTCTTTCTAGAATCTTATAATGATCCTATAATGATCCACTCACAGGAAATGGGACTTGGGTTTGAAATCTAACTCCTAAAGCTCTGCATCGCAGCAGGACTCAGTGCTGAGTGGCCTATTTGCCAGGCTTAGCAATATACAAATGGCGCCTCCAAATTGCTTTATTTGCAGAGCTCCTTCAAAACAGTAGTCATGTCCAAGTTTTGAAAAAAAAAAGGTTATGATCATCATGCTCAGAAGTGAAAAACAAAATCAACTTTGTGGGGACTGACTTCTTCTCAGGCTTAATTAAGATAAATGGTGCTATGTAACAAACAAAGCTAAGTTAGCAGAAGCAAATTTTATATAAATTATATTTTAAAAAATTAGCAAGATGTTTTAAAGAGTTCTTCTCAATATGGAAATCAAAATAAAGATTATGAAAATATCATACCATCTCCTGTGAGACATAATTTGGACTTTTCGTATCAGCAGAATAAAAAGAGAAGTCATAGGTGAAGGTCTTGGTCCGTTCTCTTCCTGAGTCCCCAGTCCCTCCTTCTGGTATCTAGAGGGAAAGGTTTAGGATAATAAGATAATAATGCAAAAAGCCCTGACAGCTAAATGATCTGTCCAATAAAAAAAAGAAAAATTCATAAAAAATATACAATGATCGTCATTTTTCATATTTACACTCTAAAAACCATTTACTTCCTCCTGACTACCCCCTAGATAGATATAGATAGATCGATCGATTGATCGATCCCGAACTCCTCCCATCAATCCAGGCTCTCTATGCTATGACACATGGCTACTTTCCTGGACTTTTTATCATGATTCTCTTATACAAACCCAACACTCCACCCAGACTCGTATTTTTCCGCTGGCTTCAAACTTTTTACTGTTCCCTCCACCTGAAACCACCAGAGTTGGGGTCTGCAGAACTCTAGAGGCTGCTAACCACATAGATTGTGATGTGACTAGAGCCCCTTAGAGTTGTGCAGTTTTGTGGCCCCACTAAAAACTCCAGGTCGGATGCTTCCTCTTCCATGAAGCTGCCCCTTGGGCACTATATCCAGAAGTAATTGCTGCCACTTCTGAGAGGCTAGATTCTCCTAGGACATATTCTATTATGAGTTTATTGCAGATGTTCGCATGTATCTTGTCTACCTTGCTGTATACCTAAACTGAACCAAAAACCATGTTTAAAAATCATCATAAGCCACCAAAGTTTCACAAAGTTCCCTGGACACATGCTGAAAAAATTTAATGAGCATGATATTTTCCAACATAATTCAGATTCTCTAAATAAACAATTTCTATGGTTCTTATTATTAAAATGTTAAAAATCTGGACATCTGTTTTCATTATATCAGATGAGGAAATGTTTGTAAAACTCAAAAAGCAACAGAGTAATCAAGGAAAATAGATTCCACAACACACAAAGAAGAGATGCATCCAGAGCCAAGGGTCTCTTCACTCTGTTTCGGTAAATATAATTTTTTAATGATTTTACCAAAACACTGTGAGCACACAGATACATGAATCAAAGCAAAGGTAACTAACAGGAGGCAATGATCAAGTGATGACTGGCAGAAATGTGAGAAGATGTGGTAGGTCAAAGGAGGGAAAGCCAGGTAGGGCCAGACAGAGCTAGACGGTACAAGGATTGTGGTCAGAGAAGAAAGACATTTCACTGGAGAATGCCTCAGGCAAAGAGATACCAGAGCCTCAAAGGAAAACTATCAAATTATCCAGAGCATGGCCCAATTGGAAGATAGGAGCATTCCCCCTGCTTCTATCACTGGAGATCAAGTGGCACTACTTTGAGATTGAATGTCAACATATCCAGTCCCTTGAGCCACAAATTAACAGAAATCCAACTAGAGATTGATCTGCACTTGGCCATGGAGCAGCAGGCCTCAGAAACCCAAACCTCTAAGTTAATGATAAATATAGGAGGACAGAGGGGATGGGTCCATAAAGCACATGATTTATTATTATTAACTTTACACTCTTATCCACCCTCCCCCCAAGTGAAAAGTATTCACGGTTCTTAACAAATTCACTGACCAAAGGAAAAAAATAGGATATTTTAAGTGCAAAAGGAAGAACATGTTATCCTAGAAAATTCTGGTTTTTTCGATTATCTTTTTCAGGGGGGGGTAAAAATCTTTTTTTTAAATCTTTCATCCCCTGAGTTTTGAATAATAAAACAAGCTCCTCTTGCAAAGTTTACAAAACATGATTATTTTCATTAAGAATGGAAACAAATTTAGGGCTAACACTTACTTAATGATTCACAGAATTCAGCCAGTTGCCAGGCTAAGGATCTACCACAGGGTACAGGATAACAATGCTGAGTCTGGGTTAAACCCATGAGCTCACATACCAGGGCTCTGAGATCAAATGAAACCAGGGACAGGAGAGGAGACAGAGCATTACACCCTTTTGCTTCATGGAAGAGCCCTAGCCAAGTGCAAGTTGATGTGGCTAGTTGAACTGAGAAGGAGGGGTATGGAAATGGCAGATGTGTTTTATTTACCAACAAATCATTTTAACAAAACAAACATGGAGGCTCTTGGAGCAAGGCCAGGTTGCTACTTGCCTTTAAGTTTGTGATTGTTGTTTTGCTTTTCTCCATTTGAATAATGAATTTAGCTTCCAAGTCCTTTTCCCTGCAACACAAATAATTCAGTACTAGTTAGGAGAGAAAAGATTGTTTTTAAAACATTTGTTTTATTTACTTTTTACATATGGGGGTTTGTTTTTAAATGGCATCTGAAGCACAATCTGTGATACCACTCCTCCCAAATCCTTATTGATATAAACATGAAGACACACAAAACAGATGCCACCATCAAAAAACTTAAGACTGACAGATAATGTGTTCTCAAAACCTGGAAGAATTTCTAACTGCAAGCCAAAAGGAGTGTAAATTAAATGACAAGAAACTGTGGAGGGCTGTGTGACTCATGAAAAGAGCAATGCTTTTTTTTTTTGCTGTCACCTGGTTACGAAAAAATAGACACCTCCCCTCCACCCAGGATGAGAACCAAGAAGAAAACTGGTATGAATGGTCACAAACAGGTACTGCTTCTAGAAGCAGCCAGGGCACTGCCCCCCTCCTCCCACCCTCTTTCCATAAGCATTCGGAAACTACAGTTCCTGGAAAACAGCAGAACTAGAAGTCCACAGAACTCCTAAGAAGTATAGTTCTCAAGAATAAATGACATGTATCTACACAGTGGAGTGGCCTGTCACTGACAAAGGAATAAGGATGGTCTCCGTATACTGCTAGGGGCTGGTAGCCAGGATGTATTAGTGTTAAGAGGCGAATAGAAAGTGGAGAAAAGTCTACCGAGAATGCTAACACTTTTACTTAAAGACAAAAAGGATAGCCTACGTATTTTTCAAGAGGCCAACTATGGAGAAAGAAGAAAATGGAGCGGAGCGGATAGACGCTAGATGTCTACAAACATATCTTGATCTTGTAGATCATCTTTAGAGTGAGGAAAATAATTTACACAAAAATAAAACAAGATTGTTTTTCAAAGTGACCTAAAACACATCAGTGTCAAAAAAAAAAGCTTGAAGTGCAGGTCATATATTCAGTGTTAAAAAATAAAATAAAAATTAAAATTAAATTAAAATAAAATAACCTAAAACTCAAAAGTAAGCTGAGACAAGTGAACCTAACTGTACATTGGTGGCACACAGTGAAAGACAATGTCAATCCTGACCGGATGCTGGAATCTGACTGCAGAATGTAGTGGGGTGTTGGCCCAAGGAGAAAAAGAACTGTAAAGAAGTCAAAGTACTTTCAGTAATCAGATTGTTGCCGGTAAAGTAAGCGTTCATTCAGAGATTTTCATTTGTGCGCTATGGGATAATACCTGAGTAATTATGGTGGTGGCCTTGAGAACCAAGGTTTTTGGATGAACGGAGACACAAACATAAGATGGATGAGGTCAAGTAAAATCATAAACTTTATCTGAAATTGAAAAAGGAAAAGAAAGTACTCCCTAGCTTTGTCCTTTGAAAAGGCCTAGAATCTTATGCCCAAATTATAGTCTCTAAATTCCATTTAGAGTCAGGGCTGTTAGGAGAACGACTCAATCCAAATATTTGAACTATCTTGTTAACACAAGAAAGCAGGAAGCTATCACATCAAAAGTTACTGGTTTGTCCAAGTTGTCCATAGGCAACTTCTAAGACGGCTCCTGGTGATCCCTACCCTCCAGGTGTCTGTGACCCTGTGTGATCCCCTGCCCCGGGGAGTGGGCTGGACCTAGCAATTCACTTCCAATGATTACAACACTAAGACCCCCAAAGTGATAGTCTGTTGCTTCCTAGTTAGGATTACAAGAAGATTCTGATTTCTGACTTGCTGGTGCTCCTGTGTGTGTGTCTCTCTCTCAGAGGTCTGGCAATGGGGACAGCCACGCACCACACTGCGAGACTTTGGGAGACACTCACGTGGCAACAAACTGTGGTCGGTCAGCAGCCACCTGGGTGAGCCTGGGAGAGCCCCTTCCCCAGCCAGGCTGGAAGGCCCTGCACTGCATCCTTGAGAGATCCTGAGTGGGTCAGAGGACCCAAGTAAACCCTACCCCGACTCCTGACTCACAGAAACGGTGAGATAATAGATGGTGTTATAAGCCCCTAAAAAATTGGGGGTTTAGGGGCTTTAAGCCCCTAAGTTGTGTTACATAGTGAGAAATCACCAATAAGAGCCACGTCAAAAGGACTCAAGAGCCAACCTGAACTAAGTCCCCACAGGCCAAATCTGAGCAGCAGAGAATGGTAACTGCAAAAGACTGAAACACACGAAATATGCATCAACTTATGAACTCATAATTTAAAAAATAAAAACCGAATGGTCCCCATTGGAGAATCAAAAGAGTCACCTCATTATTTTAAAAACTAGTAAGTAGGGGCGCCTGGGTGGCTCAGTCGGTTAAGCGTCAGACTCTTGATTTTGGCTCAGGTCATGATCTCAGGGTCCTGGGATCGAGCTCCACTGAGTGTGGAGCCTGCTTGAGATTCTCTCTCTCCCTCCACCCCTCCCCCCAACTTGTACAAGCACACTCTGTCTCTAAAATAAATTAAAATCTTAAAAAATATATATATATAAAAGGGAAGACTCAAGCATTTGCCCTGCATTTCCTAAACAATCAAGTGTTTTTAATTTTAAGTTTAACCAAATAGTTGGTTGGGAAAGTTCCTCTTTTTAGAGTATTCTATCTAATAAATGAAGAAGGAGCGACAGAATTAGAATGTCAGCACTTTGCAACTCCGGTGTATTTGTGGCTCCAGGCAGTGATCATCAGTGGCTGCTAACTCCACCACTAGGAGACAACCAGACATGCTGTCCATCAGAACTGAAACACCAACACCTCTGCCGCAGAAATCTTGTCCCTGGCCCACGGAAATGGCTGGACTCTGATCTAGAGCTGATGGATAGTGAATGCCAGGAAACACAGGGGGAACACATCAAACAATACCAGGGACGCAATCAGCAAAATCTAGCTTCTGGGAGGGGCAGCAGGTAAGTGACCCAGCCTATTCAATAACAAGAACAATAAACTGCAAGGAGTATAAAGATGGAAGGGGAACCTATAGATTGAAAAAAGGCTTTAAAGACCTATCATCCAGGGACACCTGGGTGGCTTAGTCGGTTAAGCATCTGCCTTCAGCTTGGATCGTGAGGATCCTGGGATCCTGGGATCGAGTCCCATATCTGGCTCTTTGCTCAGCGGAGGGCCTGCTTCTCCCTCTGCCTGCTGATCCCCCTGCTTGTGTTCTCTCTCTCTCTCTGACAAATAAATAAATAAAATCCTTAAAAAAAAACAACCTATCAACCAATGGGATTTCAGTGCAAACAGAAAAGGCATTTTTAGAAATTATAAGATATCTAGGGAAATCTTAACACTGACTAAATACAAATTTGATATTAAGGAATTATTACTACCATTTTTAGTGTGATAATGATATTGTGATGATTTTTTTAAAAATCTTAACCTTTTAGAGACACACATTGAAATACTTATGAATGAAATAATATGATGTCTGGGAATTCCTTTAAAATAATCCCAGGGTGGGGGAAGCAGGTGTCCTGGCAACCTCAGGATGAACGGGCAGAATAAATAACCAGCCAGAACAATGAAATCCAAACAGTATGTTGTAAACACCATTCAAGAACTACAATGGATTCCCATGGCCTGATCTGACTTTTCCAAGCCAGTGTGAAGAAGTATAGGCCTGGATGAACAGACCAGTAGCTTAAAAGACAAATAAATGAAATTCCCCTCCACCACCACCATGTTCACAGTGCCCAGATCTTGAGTAGCTCCATTTTGGGCCCAAAAGTGAGAACTGCCTTGAGGTCCCCCATGTTCATGTGGCCATAAAATAAATACTTCACAAAATTACCTCTTTCTTACAGCATGCAACTACCAAAAGTAGGTCCTGCCCACAGCAAGAGAACGACACAATTAGTTTAATTAACACCATCGGCTGCCACATCTCGATCCCTCCCATTCCCACATGGGTCATTTCTCTGTCCCTAACCAAACGTGTCTAGATCTTTCACTTTAAAACCACTATTTTCAACAAATACCTGCTGGGAGCACACAATCATCCAGGGATGGAAGATCAGAAGGGATTCCAACAGGTGCTCACACTATTTGTCAATTCTTACTTATAAAACATGAAGGAATGCAACTCACACCATGCCCACCGCTCTTGCTGGAAGTCAGAGGCAAAGTAATTCCAAGGCTCATAGCCTTATACCTTTGGAGCGGCGCAAGTTTAAGGGCCCTTCGCATGATTATTTATTCTTCCCTGTAGGTAACCACGGCAGTATCTCCCTAGTTTTAAATTAAAATCCACGCTATAAAAATACTAGAGAAGACACCGACTGAAAGACCATTATGTCCTATGAGCATCTATTAGCCACTTCTGAAACCTGAAGATGCTGGGTGGGTTTCGAAGGGTTCACAACCTTAAAATCATCTGCGCGGCGATGTGGCAGCAGGAGGCGGAAGGTGATAGGTTCACTGTTCTGAGGGTCCACAGCTTTCTACACTTTCGCAAAGAGCTGTGTACCCCCAAAAGACAGCAGCTCCAGCTCAGGAACCAGCAGCATTGGTAGCCCTGGACGCTTGTTAGAAAGGAGGGATCTCAGGCCCCACCACAGACCTACTGAATGGGAACCTGTGCTGTAACAAGAGCCCTTAATGATTCCAATGAACGTGAAAGCTTGGAAAGCACTGTGCTAACATTATCTTGATCTGACAGAGTGATAACTGGCCTTATATTTACTCTCATGAGACACACTCCATAATGTTATCTACTTTGTACACTGGGAAACTCACTACCTTTGTACTTTGATCTTTAAGTTTTATTTGTAAAGTCACATGGCAGAATATGGGTACAACCTAAATCAGCTGACACTGTCTCTACTCTTGGCTCATAAATTGTACTGTAGCTTCTGACCGAAAACAACAAGTGTCTGACTTACTGGGACCTAAGAAGTCATCTGAGTGTTATGACCTCCAGATGACCTCATTCCCAGCACCCTGCCAACCTATCAGCTTCTAGGCCTTTCTATACCCAGACTGTTTCCCAATGTCAAGGTGAGGTTACCACCAATAGCTTGAGGTCATTCTTAAAA